AAGAAACTGTTTTATTTTTCTTTGTTTTGATAGTAAGAATTATTTAACCTCCCATGTATCCCTTTTTGCTTTGACTGCCAGGAAGCTCAGGGACAAATTTATAATTACTGAAATCTGTTTAGGCCCTGTTAGACTGCATATTTGCATTGTATTCTCTATCCTCCCATGCTGTTTCAAATTTCTAACCTAATTTTTCCCCTTGTTCTCATATAAAATTTTTCTATTTGTGCGTTTTATTGTAAAATGCCCCAAATCTTTTGTAGGCTGATACTGTACATAAATACATAAAATAGATTCAGTGTTCCTTTCACTAACTATAGCTAGATAATATATAAATATACTTGTACATTAATGCAAAGCAACTGTCAGTAACTTACAGTTGGGTTGTGTTTCTAATTTTTTTTTTTTTAGCCAGTCAAATTTAGCAGTGCGGGGCGGGGGCGGGGGTTGAATACCAACTTTAGTGACACTAATGTTAATATCCAATTATTTTTTGCTAAGATTAGGTTTTAACCTGAAATGTTTGTAGGGACAGATAAGGTATTGGCCCAGAACATAAGAACCGATTTAACATAAATTATAGCTATAAAACTTAAAAGTAGACAGTGACTGCCACTTGCATCTGAAATTTTGAAAGAAAATATGTTGAGTTCCATGGAAGAAATTAAGAACACATCCATGGCTTGAACACCTCACTCCTCCCACCCAAGCCCCACCCTGGGAGTGAGACCTTGCGTCAAATCTTCTGTCTCCCTTCCTTCCACTGAGACCGTCAGGAATGCTGCTGGCAATTGCTGCCATGTAACAGGGTATTGAGAGTCGGGGAGGGGCCTCTGGTGCTTCCACGAGGCTCAGGGTCTGAAGACCTGATCAAAGCTTGACAAAGCCTTTGTTCAGGTGGTGGCAGGTCCTATGAGCACTCAGGACGAAGTTGTGCAAAGGGCTTGGGGCCCTGAGGGGATGACAGCAGAGGCTTCTGCTCACAGGTGTGAGTGAGGGGCTGCAAAGCAGGAGAGCAACTGGAAAACGGGTGGCATAGGGACAGAAACCTCTTTTATCCGTTATTTACAGTACACTGCAGAGAGGGCCCCTTTGTTCAAGCCCATGTGGGTGAGGTCACCGACAGTGGGAGTTAACCCCTAGGACCCAAGTTTCTCTGATCTAATCAGCATGTCTAGTCACTGGGCTTTTCCCTCTTCCTCCCACTAAGGTCATTTATTGTGACTTAGTCATTAACCTCCTCCATTGTGATTTTCCCTTTACCGCATGCTTTCCATTCTGATAAACTGTGTAAAGGCATACAGGGTTTTTTGGAGATAATTTTGTCTCTGGTTTCATTTCCTTTAAAAAGTAGGTTTTTATTCTGTCTTTCTTGATTTTTGAATTAGTCTTGGGTTTTGGCTTTGCCCATTGAGGATCCCTTTCTGTAGACTTAACGATAGGAACTGAATCTACTAGGTTAGGAATATCAGCAAGAAAGGAAGGGCCGGTACTTTGACTCTTAGGCATAAGTTACCTTGATAAGAGGATTTTTTAAAAAAAACTACCTTTTAACCCCAGCACTCCTGCATTGGAAAGGATTCTGAGAGACATGAAGAAAGCCCCCAGAAATGAAATTGACAGCCTCATGGCCTTTTGTTGACTGTCTCGAAGCTGTACTGCTCCACTGCCTTGAAATGACACCGTGCACGATGTCTGCCGAGGTTATCCATCAGGTCGAAGAGGCACTTGACAAAGACGAGAAGGAGATGCTTCTTTTTTTGTGCCGGGATGTTGCTACAGACGTGGTTCCGCCGAATGTCAGGGAGCTTCTGGACATTTTAAGTGAGAGAGGAAAGCTGTCTGCCCCGGGTTTGGCCGAGCTGCTCTACAGAGTGAGGCGCTTTGACCTGCTCAAGCGGATCTTGAAGACAGACAAAGCGGCCGTGGAGAGCCTCCTGCTCAGGCGCCCGCACCTTATTTCGGACTATAGGTAATTCATCAGCTCTTCCCAAGGCTGGACTGGCGGGAGGGAGGGAAGGGTCTAGACTTTCCCGGATGATAGAAAGGAGGGCGGCAAGCAGAGCAGCCACATGACTCTCTCCCACTGACCCAGCTGCCATGTGATGTCACTTCCTGCCTTTGAATTCTTTGAATTCTTTTTTTTTTTTTTTTT